GTATGTATATGTATACGTACATGTATTTTTATAAATGGTGGAGAGAAGTGAAGAGGAGATAGGCTTCATCATTGCACTGTTGTCACAGTGCAGGATTCAAAAGCAGTGCTCTGATACTTAATGCTTATTGGATGACTACGTAAGAGCAACCAAAATGTAAAAAGAGCAAAGGGCTGCATGTAAACTGCTTCCACTGGAGCTGTGGCAGAAGCAATGCAACAAATAGTTGCTTTTTCTCAGTTTCTTTGTCATATTCTGAGTAGAACAGGAATTCTTCTGAAGATGGCTTGGAGTTAGATGCTAGTAAAGAGAGAAGTTAAGAGTCAAAAATTTCTGAGAAGACAAAGGGTCTTTCAAATGTGTTTGCACATATAGGCAGTGGCTCTAGCTCTTACCAAGGACATTTTGTAATCAGCTGTTTGTCCACAACAAATAGATCCCCTAGAATGCCCAGAGCCTCAGGATATGTCTACTCTGCAGACACTATTAATTGCTTGCAGCCCATGTTGAGTTTTATGATCCTTTGGGTAGGCTTTTGATCATGCCCAAGTTAGCTAGTTGATGATGCTGCAGTCTAGTGTAAGCTTCTAAAAAAACCAACAACCCAAACCAAAAAAAACCCCATGTTTTTGAGTGATATGTCTGAGCATACATGAGGACTCTGATAAGCCAACAGCAAGGAGTACCCAAGTGACAATTGCCTTTTGTATTCAGTCGAGTTACTTTGCATATGCCCTTAATTGTGAGCCTTTGCTGCATGCTTTTAGCCTCAGTGTTTCTTCTCCATGGGAATAGAATGAGCCTATTTGAAGTCTATCTTGGCTTTCGTCAATTCATCTAGTTTGGTCAGAGATTATCCATTCTGACAACTGTACATTATGCAGTATCCCTAATTTATTTTAAATCATTCAGTAAATTTGTTTCAATCCAATTATCCCTTTTTCCATAATAATAGGAAGTCCTATTTGACCTTTTCAATTCGCTAGTTTTATAGACCTGCATTTCAACTTGTTATTGCAGGATCAATAGCGTACTCGCTCTTTCACTTGAGAACTTACATGTGTTCATTTGATTTTCTCCTTTTATTTTAACTTCTAGAGCTTAGTGTGTTTTCACTAGGAGTTTCTGGGCAGATATTTTCATAACTTGTCCTTAAAAATGCTAGGTTTCTTTTGTCTTTGTTTTTCTTTGAATGGCTCAAGTTCAGTAAATACTCATGGGCTGTTCAGATCCTAATCAGCTACTTATTAAGAATGACTGTCATCTGCCCTGGTGTTGCCCAGTTGTCTAGTTATTTTTAGAAAAGTGGTATTTCTGTAACTTAAGTCAAGTCTGTTCATCCTGTAAACAAGCTAGACGCTTAGCTGTGGTCTGAAAAGCTTGCCCAGACATTAAATGTAATGTCTGAATTGCAGGAGAGCCCTATGCGGTTAAATGTCTTAATGATTTGAAATGCTTCTTGCCTGGTAAAAGTCAGAGTAGATGCAAATGCACAAACATATTTTTGCTTGGAGGAATTTTATTTTGTTTACTGAAATGTTGCACACAATAGTAACAAAGACAAAAAAAACCAACAAGCTGGAGGCTTGCTGATATAGTTGTGGACAAAGACTAAGGAGGTGGAAACTGCCGAAGTGTGGAGTGGGGGAATTTGAGGATGGGAGAAATACAAGATCACTTGAAGACAGGAGACTGGCAAAATGAAGGCTGTTGTGAAAAATTTCCAGCATTTTCTGGTTTGTAACTTTAGCTTTCTATTTTGTGTAAACATTCCTCAATTCTTGAGAAGGAGGAGGGGGAATCTGTCAAAGTTAAATCTATCTTTTGCACTCTTAGGAAAAAAGATGCTGCCCCTCAAAACTGATTAAAAGATGGATTACTATATTTTATATTTTGCAAGACACTAATCATGTTGTTTCTTACAAGTCAAAATCTTTTCTGGTTTCTGATACTACACCTGTATTTAAAGCATTACAACCTTAAATGCTTTTAGCACACAGACTTGTTCTGGAGCCTTTGTTCTTTGCTTGCATATAGTTTAGCTTAGGTGTCTCATTTCTTCATTTATAGAATCATGCGTGCAATGGAAGCACTCCATAAAAAAATAACTTAATTCGGCCTAAGCAGAAAACTGAAGGTGAATGCTGATTCCATTGATGACATATTTTCTCCATATGGCAGGGAGTAGGTAGAACAAGAACCAGTGACCTAAGTGTCACAAGTCAGGCACGAATCTGGGAGGCTAAAAGTTAGACCAGACAATTTTCAACTTTCCCACATTGTCCAGAGGAACTGCAGTGCAAAGAAGTTAATTGATTCCATAGAGAAGTGTTTTTAAGAAATTTAAGGATCTATAATATACACAAAAAACCCCAAATTGTACAACCTAATTGCCTCTCTGAATTTTTAGTGAATTCCTAAGTGATATCTGTGTTCATTGGCTTTATGTTATTTGGGTACCTGTTGGTTTTCCTGCAGAGCATGCTTAATTGAACGTACTTTCAGCTCCTGCAAAGCCAATTCAGAATCTGTTAGTTCCAAGTACCTTTTCTAATCCAAAATGTTGATGTGGACATCATATCTAAATTGTCTTTCCTTGAAGAAAAGAGGGAGTAAATTTCAAAGGAAGAATTCTGTTAACTTAAAAATGAGTTGCTTCATATTCACTGCCAGCCACTGTGTTATTGAAAAGAAGTCAAGTAAGGAGAGGATACTTAAGACCAATTTTTAAAAGATTTCATAGCATATTTTAGAATTGTTACTGGCATCAGTAGATTCTTTTTTGCTTCATGGGTTCTTTGCTTTTGTTTTTAAAGTGAGTAATTGAGCTGTTTTTTCCTCTAGAAAGAACAAAGAAAGGTTAAATGTAGAAATATGAGATTTTTTTGCTGAAGCTGTCAGTATCAACAAAACAGAGGAGTCCAACTGAGATGGGGAATGAAAAAAATAGGTGTTCTAAAATATATTTTCACCCATGGCTAAACAGGTGGTATTATGGAATGGTAGTCAACTTCTTTGATACTAGTAGGATGCTAGGCTTAATTTCAGGTATTTTTCATATTGTAACCGAATGTGTATTAAAATATAATGTTTACAAATATATGAAAATCAATGACAAAGTGGTGGTGGTCTGATTTTCTGTTTTTCCTGGTTGCCTCCAAAGAGCAGTTGTAGCACATGTAGTGTGTTACAGTCTGCTTCTGGGAACTTCTGCGTGCAACATCCACTTCAAATATCATTCACAGCTTAAACACATTAGAACCACATGGCTTAATGTCAACTTAATTAAAAAAAAAAAAAAAAGAGGGAGAAATTGCCCTTAAGACTATTTTGGTTTTCTGTTGTTTGTTTGGGTTTTTTTAACTTTGCTCCATTGTGAAAAGGCTGAAGCAGCAGATTTTTTGGAGCTTCTGTAGATTCCTGTAGATTCTATGCACATATGATGGTTTTGTAAATACAGTTTTTCCGTTTTTAAAAAAGAAATATATCTGTTTCTCAGAACTCAGAAATGCTGCATTTTTCTTGACTCTCGTGAAACTTGGCAGTGAATCCAGTGTTCCTGCGGTGTTTCTGTATCCCCAGCTGAATGTGCTCAGAGCTTCCCAGTGGTAAAGACTAGAGATGGTTTGGGGTTTTTTTATTGTTGGATTGAAAAGAGTATCCAGGCACGGCTTAAGCAGTTTCAGTTTCCAATTGAATCCAACAGGTTTACAATCTAAAGTGGTATTATTTGGCATTTCTTTAGTACTAAAGTGATTTCAACCGTTGCAATGATGGGAAAGGCAGATATGTTATGTTACAGCTACACTTTCTCCTGCCGTTGAGAATGTGTTTACTTTTATATACTGTATGTATGTATCTGTCTAGCATAATAAGTCCGATTAACTCATTAGCCAGAAGAGTGTTGAAAATACCTTTTTCTTTGAGAGCAGTTTACCCCATCACAGGAGACAAAGCACTGCAGAAGGCAGAGGACTCTAGAACTAGGGCAAGAGAAATAGACATCATCTGCAAAATCATATCCTTGTTTCTAGTACTTGGAAATTTGGATGGTAGCTGGGGATTTTTTTGTTTTAATTGAACTTATATTTAATGTTCTCACAGCAGTTTTGCATTATGGCACTTTATGCTTCTGGACACCAGATGGTGCTGCTAAACTATCTAATGTGTAATTTTCACACTTTTTGAAGTAATAGCTACTGAATTTAGTCCCAAAGTCAGTTCTGTATGTCCTAACCAGGTGTATGTTCCAGGCTGCAGAACTGTGCCTGATAGCTCAGCACACCTCCTTCTGCTGTTTAAGGACAGTGGTCTGAAAATTATAATGTGAACTGAAGCGTGTTGCAAAACCGGTATTTTAGATCTCACTAGCCAAAAACTGCTGTCAGCTGGTGTTCCTCCTGGGTATATAGCTTAGTTGCATATCTTAATTTATATTCTTGACAGTTCAGAGATTTCGTTTATTAGTGTTATTTAGTTTTTATTTGATAACTTTGATCAGAAAACTACTGGTGAGGGCACCTTTATTGCCAGGTTAAAACTGCGAAGGTTAGTTCTAGAGACTAATTAAATACAACGAAGTAGTGATGAAAGTGGGTTGGTTTGGTGGGTGGTTTGCGTGGACATTGTTTGCGTTAAGCTTGAGTAAGGCTGCCAAAAAACTTTTAGGTGTCCTCTGTTAGTATTTGTTTGAGAAGACGTGATGGCTTTGCTGTGTAATTGCGTTGCAGTCAAATATTTGTAATACTGTGATATACATTTGACATTTGATTTCTATTTATTTGAAGTTGGTTATGTTTAATAAACTCATCTGGCAATTCCAATCCTGAGGCTGAAGGGGTGGAACAATACATTTGGGTTTTAGCTGAATCCCAAAGGTTGATGGTACAGTTTATTACTGAACTATAAATAATGGATTCAAATTTATTGAAGCACGGCAGAAATTTTTGATAGACTTTTCACTTTTTTCTTTTTCTTACAAGTCTTTGTTTGTTTTGTAGATCCCCATATTAAAGTTTCTGGAAAAAAAGAAAATGTTAAAGAAGCGAAAGAGAGAATCATGTCTGTCTTGGACACAAAAGTAAGAAAGAACTTAATCTGAATGAGACCTTAACCCCTAATTTTGTGATGACATTGATCTCTTTGCATGGGCTCATTTAAAGAGGAGACATTTATGGATGCTCCAAAGCAAAGTCTCTGACATATTCTCTTCTTGATGTTGACTTTTGGTGTGTACACAGAAATTTAAACATGCTATAAGAAAATACATACCTGAAGCACTTTTTCCACATCTGAACTATATAGAAATAATATTTCCAGATGTATGCCTAAAAGCAAACATAGATTATTCATTGGATTTTTTTACTTTAAAATCTGAAATACAGCTTTATTGCAAACAGTAGATTATGCATCCATCTAAGATTTTGTTTGTTTGAAATGAAATTTTAGGACCATTTATGCAGTTCTGTGTTTAACTGTTGCTGCATGTTTATACCCTGAAATGTTAGGACCAGAATTTCTAAAATGCCCAGATTTTGGCCAGAGGTCTCATGTTCATCAGATTTCCTTGTCATCCAGTAGTAAGCCTTCTGGGGCAGTGTGTACATTTTCTGCATAGCTGTGTGCTAATTTTTTGATTGTCTAAACAGATTGCCAAAAAGTAACACTCCAGTGATAAGGGCCATTTTTTGAACAGCTAGTAACAACATTATTGTGGACTGTTAACAATATGGTTTTTTAAGAACAGCTGTAGCCAGTGTTTATATATATGCTAAAATTGATGTACTAGAAAAATCTGGTGTGTTTGTTAGAGGAGAGGAAAAAAAAGTCTGTTATTTTGGGTCCCGTGGCTTTGATTTGCTGAAGGCTTCATCACGTGGTCCTTTCAGATTAGACAGGAGTCTGTGTCCGCAATTGAAAGAGCACAGAATTAAAATAAATTAGATTGGATTGCAAAAGGGCACTTAAGTCACAGCTGATAAAAGCTAGTGGTCATTTTAAAAGCCTTAGATGTTTTTTGAAGATGGATCTTTGGGTATCTGTTTCCATGGATGAGTGTTTTTTTCCTCATTGGAAAGAAAATGTGAGTGGTCCGGCATGTGTCAAGGGTTAGGGCTGGGCTGACCGCTGAATGCTGGCAAATGCTCTCTAACCTCTCTCCCTCCACAGGACAGCATCTGCCTGTGGTCCGTATCGAAGGCATGTTGCTTAAGCTATGGCAAAAATAGTATGTGAATAAAGTTTCAAGTGTAATTCTTGAAGCTACATCACTGTAAAATGCTCATGTTCTGTTGTGGGGGAAAAAAAAAATCTAATCACGAGTGCTTGATTTCCAGAGCAATCGCGTAACCTTGAAGATGGATGTTTCACATACAGAACATTCTCATGTGATAGGTAAAGGTGGCAATAATATTAAAAAGGTGATGGAGGAAACAGGATGCCATATCCATTTTCCAGACTCAAATAGGAACAATCAAGCAGAGAAAAGCAACCAAGTAAGTATTGTTTAAATATTTAATGTATTTATACTGCAATTCCCGAGTATGAAATATCCCTAAACGTTTTTCATCAACTTGGGTTTTTTGGGGACACTGAGTTTATGTTCAGGGAAAGAGACTTTTGGGATTTATACTGTGTGGAAAGCACGGGACTTCCTAAGTGAGCAAGTCTTTAAAAACAGATGGAAACAATTTGTGATAGCTTACTCATCATTATGTTTGTTTAGTTGGATTTTTTAACTAAAACTATTTTGAGCATACAACAGTAAACAACTTAGTGCAAATGGTAGAGAAGCAGTATGAAAAGCACTGCTTTCATAAATTTTTTTCTTCCTGTTCAACCCCTGACTTAGCATGGTGATTAACTTCTTGCTGCTTTTAAATTGCGGTGTAACTTAGTTGAAAACTGAACTTGGTGGGTAGCTAGCAAAAATGAATGTCCAATTGTAAGAGTTCAGCTTTGTTAGATTATGTCATTGAATCTGAATTGCACATCTTCTGTAATGCTAATATTACTGGAATGTTTACTTCCAAGTTTTTCATCACTAGTTAGAATTCCCTCTTGTGCATCCTAGTGGCTGCTGAGCAAAGAATGATAATTTCAAAAAGTTCAAGAAAACCTACTGTTGTTAAATACTAGCATTAAGCACACATATACAGTAGTAATTCCGTTATTTGATCCAAACAACTGTCTAGTTTGATGTATCAGTTTTCTTCTATTTTCTTAAGCCTGTGTAACCTGAGATGCTACAGTATTCATAGATTATTTCTTTTAAACTGGTCTCAGTGTTCAGGTACCGTTTCGTGAGCACTTAGTATGTCCCCAGGTGTAAAATGAGTATTGATTTCTTTTGGGAAAAAAAAAAGACAGGGGGAACACAAGTCTGAATAACTTTACCAGTGCCTCATTTGAAAATGTGATTCTATGTTTTCTTTATTCTTGCTCTTTCAGGTATCTATTGCAGGACAGCCAGCTGGAGTGGAGTCTGCAAGAGTTAGAATTCGGGTAATAGTCTATTTCAGTATAGTGTTCCTTTGAAAACAACTGAAAGGAAAAAAAAACTTTAGTTTTGAGAACTTTAGGTTTGTCTCACTCTGTCTTACAACAGCAGAAATATAGGAACAAATGTGAGTATCCATATGAGCGAAATGCAAAGGGTATTGTGAAAGTAGTCATTCGTATTCTGGCCAAATTTTTAACTAGCCCAAGGAAGACTTCAAGGGCAAAGTCTTCAGTATAAGCAAGATGTAAACTATTCTATGCTGTGTTTAAAATTACATCTGAACTTACCCTCCATAGATAGCCTGTAGAAGCTTAGTCATCCTGTGTGAATCTACGACTTTAAAAGGCGGTAACTGCCTTTCCTGATTTTAACCATTTTTATGTGTAATTTGTGAAAGTGATTTGGTGGAATCTAGTTCCATTCTTATGACGCTTTTCTGTCTATACTTTGTAGTTTTGACATGTATGGATATTCTGATATGGATCATTACAAATCTAATAAATTATGAAAACTTTTTTTTGCATTTGTAGTGAGGTATGCCATATGCACAACCTTGATCGTGGACAGTCATGAAAGAAGCTGATGTTTAAATAGCTTTGTAGCTGAATTCAGAGCTCAGGTTAATCCATGACAGTGAAGAGACTTCTCTAGGAAGTTTTACAAGTAGTGACCTGGTTGTAGGTCCACATGGATGAGCGTGGGAAATTACCTAGCTTTATTGTTGCTATGTAGTTGCAACAGATCCTGCTGTTTTTTGGTGGAGAAAGTACCTTTTTCTAACTCAAGATGTGATAATGTTTTTATCAGTGAATACTGGGCAGAGGATGTATTATGTCAGTTGATTCATCATTGACCAATACGTTAGGATTTGGTAATGAAATTGTAGATTTTATTTGGTATCATTTTGGTTTTCAGTATTTGCTCTTCAATGTTGTTGTAGGAACTGCTTCCATTGGTACTCATATTTGAATTGCCTATTGCTGGAATTCTCCAACCGATCCCAGATCCTAATTCTCCCACAATTCAGCATATATGTCAGACATATAATATTTCAGTTTCCTTTAAACAACGCTCTCGAATGTATGGTGCTACGGTCATTGTCAGAGGCTCACAAAATAACACTAGTGCTGTGAAGGTAATGTTGCTTCTTAAGTCAGATTCTGCATATCTTAACTATATTAAATAATTTAGATAATTAAGAATTATATTAATGTTATCCTGCCTCATCAATACATATTATTACTGCATAATCACTTTTTGAGCATGAGGGTTTGGGCTTTTTAAAACTTCACTGGTAGAGGCGAGGTGTGGAAAATATGTAGCAAATAGTTTTAAGTTTAGGAATTGGCATTGCTTGTGCTAACCTTTTAATCTGTTTTGTCATCTCTTGCACACCTGTTGGGGTTTCTAGCCATTCTGGAATATGTGCTAATCTTATCCATCTTTTAATTAAAATAAACAAATAAATAATGAAGTGCCAACAAACACAACTCTTCACAGCCCTTCGCTCCACAAAATGACATGCATGCATGTGCAAATTCTTCATGCGTGATCTTCTCAATGTGCACTCAAATACATAACCTTGCAAGTTGCCCTAACAGTTGATAAAACTGGCCTTGCAAAACCAGGATCGGGAGATGTGAATTTGACAGTCAAGGCTAGGAACTGCCATGAGCCTATTTATCTTAATAAAATAGAGAAGGTCCCTTGTTAACAACTGAAAGTTTGATAGATTGATACAGTCTTGGATGGGTGTATCTCAAGCCAGTAAGAACATCTTAAGCTGAAATTGAAAGATAAATTTTGCAGCTATGCCTACTGAAATAAATCTCTATTGATTTTTTCTTAATTTGTATGTGGGCACAGAAGGGTCTATTGGGAGCAAAACATTTGGTATCGTCTACTTACCTTTTACAGTGGCAGTTCAATGCTACATTTGGACATAAAATGGGAATAACAGGTAAAATTCAGTCCATCTGTTACCTTTAACAAATCAATCAGATTTTTAGGCAAAACAGAATTTCCTTGATCTTGACTGTGGAGTTCATGACAAGTCAGGCAGCGGTCTGAAATGTCGTTTCATGTGCCTGTGAGCACAGTTTCACTGGTGTCTTGCGTTTCGCCCTGCAGGAAGGAACAGCCATGCTTTTAGAACACCTGGCCGGGAGCCTGGCCTCTGCGATCCCTGTGAGCACGCAGCTCGACATCGCAGCGCAGCATCATCTCTTTATGATGGGTCGAAACGGCAGCAATATCAAACACATCATGCAGAGGACTGGCGCTCAGATCCACTTCCCTGACCCGAATAACCCCCAGAAGAAATCCACTGTCTACCTCCAGGGCACAATTGAGTCTGTCTGTCTTGCCAGGCAATATCTCATGGTAGATATTTTCACTGAAAAACTTGCTTGAAAAAAATGCAATATTATAGGAAATAAGCTCATTCTGCATGTGTTTATGGATCAAATGAAGATTAGCCTTAGAGAGGAAGGATTGCTACTCATGTTGCAAAAAGCTGATTTCGTTGAGTGCTCTATTTTGTCAGTGTTTCATGACTGTTTGAAGTTACCCAAAATATTTATAATCTCCGATATTGTGATTTGAAAAGTGACCTCGGTAATACAAATACGACATAAGCAATTTAAATTTATTGTAACAGTATGGCTCTGAGTAGAAGATATATCTTTGGAGGGTTTTGTTATTACATGGTTTGTTTTGTTTTGCCAACCTGCATTTTCCACATTTGTCAGGTAAGTTATGTTTCTTTCGGGAAGAAGTTGCAAGAATTTATTGGGTTCTGCATAGGAGAGTTTTTAAGGAAACTGGGCAACCTTAGGAGATAATTACTCGTTCTGCAGTCTTACATTCTTTTGAGTACTGTAGCCTCAGTACTATAAAGTCTTTTATAAAAATAGGTCAGATTAATATTATTATTTGTACAGATATTTATTATAATGGTCTTTAAGCTTCACAGCCCCTTTAGGCATTGCTATAGCACTAATATGTGTACATGGATTTTTTTTACATGTATGGATATTTACAGACAACAGATGGGAGGATTGGACTCAAGTCCAATTCCAGTTCAAAGCTGGTATCAGGATAAACCATGACACCATTAAATTCCAGAAGTCCATGTCTCTCTTACATTGCACTGTGCCTGCAAAAGGCCTTTATTTTCATCCTTTTCCTCTCATATGTAAAAGAAGAGTCCGTTAATATGCTTATAAAACCTGACATTTCAACCTTGAAGTTTCTACTTTCATTGTTTTCCTTGTGAACCTTTAGTTGCGTTTTTGTTCAGCAAGCTTTTGATGAGACCTTCTGATACTGCTTTCTGTGCAAACGTTTGAAAAAAATCAACTATGAAACGTTCTCAACAGTTCTGTTACCATAAAATGCTTGATTGATTTTGTTCTTTTCAATTAGACTTTATTCATAATATAGGTGATGCTGTTGAGAAGTGCTGTTTAAATATAAAACAATATTGAACTAGTTATCTGAAGAATAAATACATCAGTTTGCTGCTTTTCATTCTGAAGTGAAAGCAGGAAACTGGTTAAACAAGACCACGTTCTTGGATGTATCTTAGTTTGGATTTTTTTCTGCTCTGTGTGTTACTATGTGTACTTTATTGGGAATCTAAAATGTCAAAAAGTTGGTTTTTGTTTTCACTGAGTTTATACCCTCTGTTTTTGTTATTTATTAGAAATTAGCTTAAGATTTCTCACAAGTTTCTAGGTATCCTGAGACCATTGAATTCATTGTTGTTTCTTGGGTTTGGGCTTTCTTTAGGACTGGGGTTTTTTTTGTCGATGTTTGTTTTTGTTGATTTTCAATTAAAGTTTTAGTATTTCAGATGTTTCAGAGATGTCATCTATATCTTTGAGAAATATTTCCTTAGCTGATCTAGGACAGAGGAAGAGGAATGGGAAAGTTCAGACTTAGGCAGTATTGATTTACAGAGAAATTTTTACAGAGTTGTGTTTCTGTACCTCAAACACAGTTTAACATGAGCCATTTCAGTATGTGAGTTCTGCAGCCAAGTCCGAATTCAATAGCTAATAGGAGTTTTTGTGTTTTAATCCTGCGGGCACCTCTACGTCTGTATAAATAGCTAACGTGGGGTGCGTATGTGCTGATTGGAATGTCAAATATTCAACAAATTATTTAACACTTATATTGCCAAACTGTTTGTTCAGAATACCAGAGTAGCAAGATAAACCTGTGTACTTGTGCACACAGGGAAATGGCTTTAATTAAAATTTCATACTTTCTAGTTTTTCTGAACTTACTGTTCCATGTTGTACATGTGCTACAGTCTCTATGTTAAGTTTATTGCTAACAATTTCACAGGAAAAGGATAGGTTTATATATTTTATGAATTTTTGCGTCTTGTCTTCAGGGTTGCCTTCCTCTTGTGCTCATGTTTGATATGAAAGAAGAAATTGAAGTAGAACCACAGTTTATAACACAGCTAATGGAGCAGTTAGATGTCTTCATAAGTATTAAGCCGAAGCCAAAGCAACCAAGCAAGGTTGGTGGAAAGCTAATATATTCTTTTTAGGCTTTCATAACAGCTTCTCAGAGCTGATGAGCTGACATGTCTGCTCTTCCTCCCTAACTTAATGAATCATAAGCTTGTAAAAGGCATATATATTTTCTGCTTGAAGTATCAGTTTAAATGTTACAACAACTCTCTTTGATGGCAATTTGACTTTCATTAAATATTTGACAGTACAAAGATTAGCTTTTGTATGAAATATACTGATACAAGAAATAAATTCAGAGGAGACAAATTATATCTGACTAGAACTACTCTTGATTTTGGATTTTAAAGAAATTAATCTAAAATTGCATCTCCGCCACGTAACTGTAGATTTCTCTAGCAATTGGAATAAAACAAGCAAAAAAACAATAAAAAAGAACCCCCAAATAACATGACTATGAGAAAAGTCGTTATTTTCAACATCTCATATAGAACATAAGACAAGAAACGGAATTACAAGACATGTCTAATGGGAGATGTTCATTGTAAAATATTCAGGCAAGTATAGAGAAGCAACTCTCACAGTTATCTGCGTTGTTATATATAATACCGTAACAGACAAAGATTTCAAATTATTAAATGAGTGTTCTGTTGTATCAATAAGTAAGCTTTTCTCTGTAGGGATATATAAAATCAATACGAAGAAACATTGTTTAGAGATGGTACAAGAAATGAAGTTTTTTGCAATTTAATTTTCCAGGCATTTGTTGCTTTATTCTCAGACAACTGTGGATTTGATAGCGGGATTTAATTTGAACAACTTCTTTGTCTACTTAGAGGTCTAGACCTTGGATAAAAGAGAAGATAAGATTTTAATTGATTCACTTCTCTAGGTCTTAGGGCACTTAAGACTTGGTATGCCAGATAGCACCAAGGTAAAATAATAGTTTTTCTTAGACAGAAAGATCTTCATTGTTTTCTTTGTCAAGTACATACAAAATCCCTAAACTTCCTGTCAAAGCCACTGAATTTGAATAGTTCCTGATGGACATGATCTCATGCTGTCTTGCGCTGCCATGTTACTGATAGCCACGAGGGAGAATTAAGAAGTTATGGGTGTTGCAGATCGAGGTTATGTAGTTGTGTTACTCGTTGATTTTCATCTTGTTGTTTTTTGTTTTCTTTCCCTGCAGTCTGTGATTGTAAAAAGCGTTGAACGAAATGCCTTAAATATGTATGAGGCACGGAAATGTCTCTTGGGACTTGAAAGTAGTGGAGTCACCATAGCATCAAATCCTTCTACTGTCTCGTGCCCTGTTGGTCTGTCTTGTCCTGGTCTAGACATCTTGTCCTCAGCAGGGTTAGGACTCACTGGGCTTGGTATGCATTATATCATTTATATAGATCTATATTTATATGTATTTAATAGGTACATATTTGTTTGAAGCTTAATTTGCTTGTACTAGAGAAAAGAATCAGATGTGTGTGTGTTTCGCAAAGAAATGTGTTAAAGCATTAGAAGATACTAAAAGCGTCTGGCTTTTCAGTTGTAAAACTTCCTCCAAGGCTTTTGCAATTAGGCATGTTGCTCATCTCTAAAAGATCCTCCAGAAGCTCAAAAACCACTTAGCTGAAAGGGAAAGGGAGGGAAATACAGGTGAAGTGGGACATTCCTTTTACGATTTTCAGAATAGTCTTTTTCAAATGAAATTTCTTTAGCAATATCGTGATGGCTCGGGCTGTCCTGAATTTGTGTAGGTACTTAAGCCTGTCAACAGTACCATGAGAGTTCATGTAGCTGACACCACGTTTCAGTTCTGGCTGTATCTCGCTGTAGCTGAGGCATGCACTTCCTTCTAGCTTAGACTTTGCTTAGCAGTAGGAAATCTAGGACAGAAATGTCTATCTTTATGTAGTTTTATAGAATCAGCCTATAGTCCTGACTGGAATTACCATTTTGTTTTGAAGCTCTGAAAATACCTTATTATCAAGAATATATAGAAAACCAAGCAGTCTCAGAAGAATTTAGAATTTAGTGGCAAATCGTGACACTGGTTCTTGAAATTCATGATTCTCACGTAAATACCACGCTCCCCAGTGACCTGCCCTACAGGAGTGCTGCGTAGTTCTGTGTCACACAGGGGCAAGTGTTTGTGCCATTAGACTGTGGGTTTTAATGCTGCATTTGTTAGCATTTTTGTCAAGCCTGCACTTTGAGTTTTTGGTTTTTTACCTCTTAAAGTACAGCACTGATCTGCCCTCTGAATGCTCTTACTCAAGGAGCTGGTTTGAGGGAGCGCTTCACGAATAAATAGGGCATAATTTAGTCAGCACTGAAGATGCAAAAAGGATTGAACAGTTCCTAGTGTGGAAGCAGTGGTTCATTCGTATGAGCTTCTGAGAACAATGTTGTTGTCTGAAATGAAAGTCAGGTTGTGTAGGGCAGTTGCTTCCTTGTCTCTAAGCAGTACTTCTTTGAAACAAACTGACTGAAGCACTAGAGGGGACACAGAGGGGCAGTGGGGCTGAGAAGCAGGCTCTTTGTTGTGACAGTAGTTAAAGTTCAGTAGAAGGACATCATAGATGTTCCAGTTCTTCTTGGATGTGATTCCCACTTTAAGAACAAGCATTCTTAACATGCTCTGTGGGCCAAATCGACAGCAGATTTAATATTCAAATGTGTAAAATACATACTGGTGCAATTTACGTTTTGTTTTTAATTGCTACTTCTGTGTAAAATTTCTTCTGTAAATCTTAGCTAAATATTCACTGGCATGATTTTTTACAGGCCTTTTAGGTCCAACAGCCTTGTCAGTCAACACCTCAAGTGCTCCAAATTCTCTCTTGAATGCTCTTAATAGCTCTGTGAGTCCCTTGCAGAGTCCAAGTTCAGGCACGCCTAGCCCCACGTTATGGGCAACATCTCTTGCTAACACAAATGCCACAGGTTGGTGCAAGTTAAATGTGAATTAAATGTACTGTGCCACAGTAGGTTGTTAGAATGACAGCTGGAAAGTCTGGAATCAGTAATTTTTAAATTTCTCTTAACACAGATGAATAAGTATCCAAATTTAAAGTTATAACTTAGTGTAAGCTTAAGACATGCTGTCATGAGCAATGCTTTCATCTGTGTTACATAAAAAACTATGTTAACCGACAAAGTAATGCTTAGATAAAGCATTATGGTTTGGGCATGCAGTTCTAATGAAACTTGTTTAGTGATGTACCTAAGCTAAATAGAGATTTATATAAAGTACTATAATGCCTGAGAAAGTTAAATGATAAATTTAATCAGAACGTGACCAAATTTTGTTGCAGGTTTTTCTGCTATTCCACACCTGATGATACCATCTACTGCTCAAGCAACCTTAACTAGTATCCTGTTGTCTGGAGTACCTAATTACAGTCAAAACACTCCATCTCCACCACCAGGCTTGACTCCTGTTGAAGTCCACGTTAATGGCATCCAATCAGAGAGTAAAAAAGTCTCACCTTCTTTAAATGGTCATGTAAAGGTAAGTGATGATATCTCTGGAGAACCAGATCTGTTTGAAATAGACCTCTACTAAGAAACACTGAAAGAGAAAACTAACTATGAGATTTCTAAAGCAGCTAAGTTTAGAAATATAACAGGGATGTTCTCAGAATATGACTTAAAGATTGAAAAATGGAATGTTCAAACATATTGCTCTCCCATGTCAGGAATGAATTTATTGTTCTCCTGCACAGATAGAGAAGAGAAACTCTTTCAGGATTTCCTTAAGCATAATAGTCACTTTAGTCGTTTTTTGACAACCCTTTCAGACCTCAAATATCAAGTATGCTGCATTGTCTGCCACATCACTAGGAGAAAATGTGTTGAGCACAAACCACAGTGATCCGGTCAGACAAACAAGTACTCATGGTGCCTCAGAACAAGTAGCTGCCAAGTCAAATAGTGCAGAAGGTAAGATTTTGACACTTTATTCTTTTGTCTGGTAGTATTTGTGCAGACTGTGTACAGATCTTGAAACAAAAATACAGATGTATTTCCTGTGCATTGTTTTTGCATCCATGATGAAGGAAAATATTGCTGATCTCCCAGATTCACTGTCAAAGAAAGTAAAAAGTTGTAGTATCTGAGCTGTATCATTGATAGAAACCCCATAAATCAATATAAATGGACTTGTAGCCTTTAATTTATTCACTAAAAGCACAGGGAAACAACTTAGGAAAATTTTAGTATGTTTTACAGCAGCTTAACTTCATTGCATAAAACAATCTGTGCTGGTTTAAACAATGTTGTATTTTTGATTTTTAACGGAAGGAAAGAATTAATGCCTTTGAGAAAGCTACTGCAGAAAATTAGGCATTGATCCAACCTAGACAACACTGGCAAGCAATTTCATTGCATGTTTTAGTTATGCTGTCTTTTAGAAGCTGAAGGAACTATTGGACTGTTCCCATCATTCTTGGAGGGAGGGAAAGCCAGTTTCACTTCAAACTTGAGCAACTGTGTGTAAAGGCCTTGTTTCCCTTGCAAATACTGAGCAACTAGGAGGTGCTCTTTTTACAAAGGGTTGTGGTCATTTGATATGCTGATTTGGGTAAAAGGTTCATTGCCCAAATAAGGTGATAAATATTTATAAAAACACATTCTGTAGATGCTTGAACATTAAGTGGGAAGCTTTTATTCCAGCAAAAGTTATCCGAGCACCTGGCAAGGTTGGGGATTTTGTTTAACTGTTTCTTTATTGGTCTTGTAGGTTGCAATGATGCTTTTGTGGAAGTGGGCATGCCAAGGAGTCCGTCCCATTCAGCAAGTACCAGTGACCTGAAGCAGATGATGAGCTCTTCCAAACAGGCCTGTGCTAAGAGACAAACAGTTGAATTACTGCAAGGCACCAAAAACTCTCACCTACAGTAAGTTAAATGCACAAATACAGATTAATGGAACTCTTGCCATGCAGAAGTACTTAATATGTTTTTGTAGTAGAAAGCGTGGTTTGGTAATAAGACACTCAAAGAACCAATTTAAATTGGGCTTGATTTTTAGTCACATTGGGCATTGTCTAATAGTTGTAAGCCTTGGATGCTTTTTGTACATCCTAAGTGTTTTTTCCTTGCTTTGAAAAAATAAATTCCTTTCCACTCCCACAAGGGAGTGTTGGGTTTTTTTCACATAAACTTTCATTGCCTATTTCTAGAGGATACATTTTTGCACTTGCCTTCTTTGTCTTCGATTGCTTTGAGAAAAATGGCTAACTGACAGCCGTTCTCCATTTGTGTATACCTGAGGCCATTCGTTTCTTAGAAAAATGATACTTGGGGCGTAGCAGTATCTTATCAAACTCTTATCTCAGTTATTTTTTTCATTTGTTTGTATTTTTTAATGAGCCAGCAACAGGAAAGGCTCTTTTGAGTCACAGTATGTCTTGGCAACATGTTTTGTGCTTAACGCAATGTTCTGTCCAGTCTACTTTTAAGTAGTGTTTTCACTATTCCTTTTGGGAACTGTTTATCATCGCTCTCTTGAGATGTGTATTTTCTCTTACCTCATTTATTTACATTGTTAAAGCTATGATGTGCATTTCATTAATTCTGCTCTCACATTTTAAAAATCCAATGATTCCTTTTAACTGCACTCAGTTGTTTGTATGTCAATCAGTTGTTTGCGTGTCTTACTAAAAGAACCAAGAGGACATAATGCTCAATTTCCTTAGGGCATTTTTCTGGGGTAGTCTACAGCATGTAAAACATGATCACTTTGCTTTGACGTAGGAGTTTATACGCATTCTAGAGTAGGCATGACATATAGCTGATCTTTAAAAAGAAAAAATTACGTTAAGGGGTGCTTTGGCATGTAGGACTGTAATTATTGAAGCTTTAAAAGCAAGTAGGACACATGTTAACTTTCTTAGTCCCCTGTATGTGTCTCTCTTTATCCTAGTCCTGTCAGTCTGTTAAAACCGCTGAACTGCTGGCCTGAGCAGAGCTAACCAGTATGACCTGTCACACTGTGTAGGGGTTGCATGTGATAATTCCAGATACCAGACAACTCAAATCTGAGTGTGTAAGCTACGCCTCATGTTTGGCAATACCAGGAGGCAGCAGTACATGCTTTATTTCACTGAGAGGAACAGAGAAGGGAAAGTTGAGACTTTAGAAATACTACTAAGAACACAGAGATGGTTGTGTACTGGAATTTCTTAAATTTTGCTGTCAAATTTCACAGAGTAAAGTTCAGTTACCAAAATTGCATTGCATGTTCACTGCTTGCGAAAAAGACAACTGGAGTTAATAATAGTGACTTTGTTCCTGCAGTACCACAGAGAGGCTGCTCTCGGATGCGGAGTTAAGTGCTTCTGAAAGTCCCATGGCTGACAAAAAGGCTCCTGGAAGTGAGCGAGCAGCAGAGCGAGCAGCAGCTGCCCAGCAGAACTCTGAAAGAGCCCGTCTAGCTCCGCAGCCATCGTATGTAAATATGCAGGTACGTTTCCCTGAATGAACCCAAATCTAGTGCAAGACTGGATAAGTCCAAAGTGAAATCACCACAGAATGCAAAAGTGACCGACTAGTACTTTTGCCATTACTGCTTCAATAAAAGCATTTCCTAGCAAAGTCATTCACTCTTTCAGCTTATGACTGAGTTGTCTTGAGGATAAAAAAACCCTTATGCCTCCCTTTGAATAAGATAAAATTAACTAAAGATGGCTATATTACTCTATAGAAGCATCATTTGTGTGTAAAAAAACCTTATGTCTTTGCATTGAGAAGAGGAATATGTCTGCAAAAGACATTTTCCAACTTTTCACAAGCACTGTCAACACATCGATTTTCCATATAGCTTCAGGTTTATATACTGGAGTGACTGTGCTGGTTTTGCTTTGCAGGTGTGGATCTTTACATATCCCATTTTTTTCTTTTTCCTTAGTACTGTTCCTGCTTTAACTACAGCCTACTACTATATTATAAACCATTTCCATGCTGTTGCAGATCTCCCCAAAGAGAGACTCCTTTGACTGTTTGTAAAGCAGTAGTGACAGAGTAGTTTTCAGGATATATCTGGCAATGTGTGGATGTAACTCGACTGCATGGAGCAGTGCAGCAAGATTAAGATTAGTGTTGTGCAGACTTCTTCCATAGTTATTCCTCTAGTTATTTCAAAGAAGTGTTATTTAGCCAGAGGTGTTTAAACTTCACATCTTCTGGTTTTGTGGGTAATGCAAATACAAGGGTTATTTTCTTTCCAAAATTTAAGTTCTTTTCTCTTCAGAAAATGAGCATGTGGAAAAGATTAAACTTGAAAAATTATAAAAAAATTGTGGTGCCTAGATTTGCAGTCTAAGATATAATCATTTTTTGTACTGTTGAGGAATGTTTTAAATGCTAAGAGCATTAAGGAAGAGAAACTGTTTGAAAAATGTCATATTTAAAAAAAAGAGAAAAATTCTGCTTAAACAGTTTGTAAGTACAGTTGCAGCCTCACTCAGATGGATATCTGATAGTTATTTACAAACTTTGTTAATCTACGTTTGAGTGGACTTTAAGTAACTAAGGCTCTAACTGGTCTACTGTCAAATTATTGTGCAGCACTTCAGGTTTCTCCTACTGCATTCACTGGCCACTTCCCAAACCTTTGTCTTTACAAAGAGCTGAGCAATGGAATGACATTTAGTGAGAGTGGCAATTAAGCTTTCTTCTGCATGTTTAATTTCTAGGCATTTGACTATGAACAGAAGAAGCTACTAGCAACTAAAGGTATGTGGATAAACTGACTTCTGAAAAGTTTTGTTAGTACACGGCTGAAAGAATTTTCTGAAATAGAAGTTTTGTAATTTGTTTTTTAATCAAATCCAAAGCTGAGAGTGAAACATTTGTCTTTTTAATGTTCCAAAAATTTCTTAATACCACTGTAGTATAAAATACAGTATAAACAACTTGCAGGTGGGATGCACTCTGTGTGAGTATATCCATGTGAAAGTGATAAGTGGTGTTTTCAGAGACCTCATAACTCTTAATACTTAATTTTATTTGGATGCAAATTGAACTTTTAAGATGTTTGTCGTATTTGCAAAGTTCGTAGTTAGAGATCATTTAATCCTTATTTCAGGGATAAATTAAGTTACAAAACTGATAAAGGACTTAACCATGTCTTTGACTCCATTTAAAAATAAACCAAATACCCTCACACCAGCAGAAATCCAGAAACATGTCTTTTGGCAACAGATACGATTTTTTTGGCTTCCTTGCAGCCCTAGGGGGTTTAACTATCCTCTGACAGGTAAATTGCCTTCAGGAAGGGTGGGATTCAAGCTGCGTACCAAGTAGAGGTGCCTTAGGATTTACTGTTGAGTGGTAGAAGTCTATTAGCATCCGTGACTTCAGGATCAGTGTCTCTGTACCTTTACCAGGTTTGAAATTTATTAATTTGTCTCTGAATTTTTTCAGCTATGTTAAAGAAGCCAGTTGTAACGGAAGTGAGAACTCCAACAAATACGTGGAGTGGTTTGGGGTTCTCTAAATCTATGCCTGCAGAAACTATCAAGGAACTAAGAAGAGCAAATCATGTATCATACAAGCCATCTATGACAACTACATATGAGGTAAAAAGCTATACTTCGATTAGTTTACTTCTAGTGAATAATACATTTTTTTCTCTTGAGGAAAAAAGTCTGCAAAAAGAAGCCTTGCAGATAGGATTTTCAGCTTTCCTATTAGAGTTTTAAATTTTTTTTATGTTGAAAACTTTCTTACATAAATATTAAGACATATGGAATATATTCAGCTTGGCACACGAAATTATATTCTCTTTCTAAATCTTACTTTAGTTTTATAGAAGTCTGCTCCTGAAAATATATTTATTTAAAGAAACTAAACTTATGGGACCAAATATCTCGGTAGTTATAAGCAAGTGGTAGGAACTTTGTAACCTAATTAAAAGAATGTGGATGTAACAGATAAACTACATAATGCAAATCACTATATGGTAGAGCAGAATGTTAGAACAAGAAGTGGCTGCAGCTCATCTTATCTTTTGTTGACAAAGCTGTCGAACTGGGAAAGATTTCTTTATTTACACTATTCACTGGTCCCAGAAATTTCCCTGGGAGAAGGCAGCCCTAGGGTCCAGGATATCTCGTCAGAGTCCTGCCATGGCAGTCTTGCAGGGAATTTATGTTCCTTCCTGCTCAAAAGCATTCTGAAGTTGCTTTTCAGAGTTTCCCTGCTGTAATCTTTCCCAGCTTCTGTACAGACACCTTTTATTTCTGTCCTGCATACATAAAATGTAAATGGTATGTTTCTTCAGGATCAGGATTTCATACAGTTTTTCTCTAGGATATACCTGTCTTCTAATGTAAAAGAAATACTCAGCCATGGTAGAAGTGTCTCTTGGTGTTCACAATTTGAACTGTGAACTTTGTGTTGTTCAAATACATGTAATAGGTTTGGATACATATAAGGAGCTTGCAGTAGTAACTAGGGGGAGAAAATAAAATTATTTTTTAACATAGTTTTTTTTATACTGGCTGAGGTGAGTTTGGGTTTTTCCCCAGGCTGTCATGCACTGCTTAAAGTCTCTGAGCAGGTAAGTCATTCTAACCAAGACGGCTGACACGCGCAGACTTTGAGTAACTACATGTGCAAACCACAAGCTTAGCCCTTTCCAGTGAAATGATAGTGTCAGAACTCCTGTTTCCATTATTTGGTATGAGATATTGTGGAAACATCTGGGGAAGCTAAAAGTCTTGGGTTCCTCGTAACCTTCTATTTAGCAGCTTTCTTTGTGTTAGAGGCAGTGCAGCCCACTTCTTCCATGCGCGTGCACCTTTGAGAGTCATGAGCTGAAGTCTTTGAACAGAAGTAATGTTGGTATTATCACCTGATGTCTGGGAAGTTCATTTGTAAGATAAGCTCACCCAACATTCTTCATCTCCACTACGATATTTTGCTGTGTATTGAAGTTTTCCAGAAACGTTGAATGATACCTTTTTTACCTCACAACTTAGATCGCTATGATCTAACATAACGTAGATGGCCTGTCTCTTCGTGCTCTTTTGTAAGACTTGATGTCAATTCTTGCCTTTCCTCATTTGTTGAGCTGTACCAACCCTAGCTCACACCTCCCCAGTTTTGCTAATACCAAGGAGTTTTTGCCTTCTTTCTTCAGTGCTGTCAGTTTCCCTGAATGGTGGAAAAGATTGCTGCCTCCCAAATTAGTATTTTCATTAGGAATTCGATGCAAGTGTGTGTAATTAAATTGTTCACTTGGTTCCACAATTCTTAGTTCATGTAAGTACATGGTATCAATAATGGGCTTTTTTTTTTTTTTTTCCCCTCCTTACATCCCCACCCAATTCTCTAGCTAACTGCTTCTTTCAGGGAATACTGTTGCCTTATTTTGGAACATTCTGACCCACAGTAATAAGAGTTGATAAATAGTACTTCACAGGAAGATAAAAATCTATTGTGTTGTGTACAATATTGTTGTCAAGCATTGTGTACTTGATACTTTATCTTCAGATAGATGTTCTGTTATGTTCCCTTCCCTGTGAAGGGATGCAGTCAATAGACTGCTTTGTCTAGAATTCGTGTGGGAATTTGATACCACGGAATGTTTTGGAAACAAACTTGGAAATACTGAGGAATTTATTTTGAAGCATGGTCTTTAAATAACTAAAATCTGTAAACTGCATATGTGTTTAAGCACACCTGCTGTTTTTGTGTCCGGCTTGCAATTATTTCACTACTGATCAACTGCCAAAAGAATATTTGCAAGCTTTAAAAGCTGTGGGTTTGTGTTTTGTTTTTTTGTTTTGTTTTTTTTAAACTGAGCTGCTTCAAAGAAAACATCTGAGTCACAATGAAACTTCTATTTTCTGCCCTTTTCTTCTTTTTGTGATTTGCAGGGTTCATCGATGTCTCTCTCACGGTCCAACAGTCGGGAGCACCTGGGCAGTGGCAGCGAATCTGATAACTGGAGGGACCATAACGGGCTTGGACCCACAGCTCATAATGAATTTGTGTCCTCGATTGGCAGCCCCAAACGGAAACAAAATAAATCAGGTTAATTTCTTAAGATCTGATTTAGAAAAAATAAAATACCGTATTGATATCAATGAATATTTATTTTAATATGAATGTTTCCTGACATCACTAGGGATTTAAAAAAGTTTACAGGTGTTGATAACTTACACATGGAAAAGTGAAAGCATATGCAAGATTGCATAACATGATATATAAATAATGGTTCAAAAGGAAAACTTTTCTTTAAAAGTTTTAAATGCAAGGCATTCTTTCTGAAAGCTGTCTTGGAAGGGAATTTTCAAGGTATGCTGAAAACAGACTTATATAAAAGCTCATTTATAGACTGTTACTGTTCTGCTCTGTTACTAATGCAGCAAAATCCAGGTCTTTCTTGGACTATTTGCTTACTGGTGGAGAAGTCATATGTTCTGATACTGAATTTTAAAGCATGATTCTCTTTATGGTGATGGAAGAAGTCTGTATGTTGGGCATGGCCTAGGACACACTTTAAACACTGGTTTCTCCAGATACAATCTGTAAACTTTGTGATTACTTTTGAAACGATGCTTGACATTTACAAATTAAAATTTTAATTCAGTCGAACTCTTTGAAACTTAATTTCACTTTTTTAATAACTTTCTGAAAGACTGAAAAATGGAGGTAGACAACACTGGTCCCTACTAACTAACTGCATTATGGGGATATTACTGTTATGGCTGGTTTGACTTTTTTGCTGCATTTTTCATATAAAGATTAATAAAACCTAAATCCCAGATTAGCTGCAAAGTACACAGATACTAAAACTTGGACATCTGGAGAAAGGATAGTTTCAATTAGAGAAAATATTCATGGTGGTTAGACTTGCAATTATTTGTGATTTTAAAAAGCACGTTAGTTCAGCTGTGCATGGCTGTGTACCGTATTCTAAGTACTCACAGAACAAAAGACTTGAACAGTTTATCTTTGAAGGCAAGCTAATGATATTTCCAGGTTAATTGAAGAAAAAAATAGAACCTCTAGGATAATGAAATAAATAAGGATTTAATATGTATTTACATATATGTAAGAAGAAAATTAGAAATATGAATACATCGTTTGTGGAGGAAACTGTTCTTACAGCAGCAGAAGCTTTCCCAGAGGAAGAAATGTGTGGAGGAGGGACAAAAGAAATAGCTGTGTGCTGACCGGACAAATGTTTTTACTTTATTGTGCAAGTGTCAGGGTACTGAAATGTAAGTCTTCATTGACACAATTGTGTTACTGGTGTTGAAGTTCTTATTAGTTTAAGATAGTGCTTCCTGACTGCACCAGTAAGAAGTATTTCATAATGTTTTCAGTACGTGACCTTGCATCATCTGCCCTGAGTGTAGGATCATGAATTTCTATTTGGGTCATCTTAGTGTTATCTTACTCTAATAGTGATTGGGGCACCTCCTTTCAAAGCCTAAAAAAAATCAACTTAGTTATTGCTTCGTTTGCCAGACTTCATGTTCTCAATTTCAACATTGCATGGTTTACTATATTTTAAAACTCTTTTCCAAAATGGAGCTGAGACTGATAGAAATTTTACTAACTCTGTAAATCCAATTCCAAATGCTTCTAATTAGTTCATGCCCAAAAAATAAGAAATGTAGCATAGCCAGTTGTGAAAAATGGTGACTTTCACATCCTGTTGAAATCATATAGTGGAGGCCATAGCAGAAGTCTCTGAGGCAATCTGTGTTTTACACACCTGGGACAGTATTCTTTAGGTACTGCCAAGCCTCTTGGGCTGTGGTTGCCTTTGTGTGCAATGGTCCTTTCCAAAGTGTTCACTGGAGAAGAGAGGAGAGGGCTTAAGAGAAAGAAAAGTAACAGGATCTTGCAGTTCTGTCCCCTGTATGAGTTCCTGACTTGTACCCATATGACAGTTCCGGTAATGTGATTTTATTGCTTAAAAGAGTTACCCAAATATCTTTTTGTAGAAAACAAACAGTGGAACTTAATTAACAAAAAAATATACTTCATGCTGTTTGTTTTCTCAAACCACTGAGAGGCTTTTTTTGCAGAATAATAGAGATTTAAATATTTTTGTTAATTTAACAATCTAACTGAATACAATATTCATATGACAAATCATCTGCTTCTGTGATGGGACTAAACTATGCACGTTTTCCCTTTCAGCTGAACACTATCTCAGTAGCAGTAATTACATGGACTGCATTTCCTCGCTGACAGGAAGCAATGGCTGTAACCTGAACACTTTGTTTAAGGGATCTGATCTTCCCGAGCTGTTCAGCAAACTTGGTTTGGGCAAGTACACAGACGTATTCCAACAGCAAGAGGTTAGTGTTCCTCTGAAAGACACCTTTATGTTTGTGTAGCATGTTTTCTAGCAGCAATTGTTGTGCTTCTTGACCACAGCTGCTAAGCAGTCTCACTTTGTAGCAGGATTTTCATGAGCTGTTCTTCCAAAGCTGTGTCATCTGCCTTTCAGTTTCCAGTTACCCAGACTGGGCACAAGTATTGTTTTGTCCTGCATCTTTATGCTTAACAAAGAAATAAACTATGTTGTTGTGTATTTTTTGGTTTTGTTTTGATTTTTCATTCAAGGAAGTTTAAACCCTGGCTACCACTTGTAAACTAGGGCACTAAGTAGAATTTAGTAGCTCAGGGGGCTGGTTAGCTCAGTCAGCTGAGCGTAGCGCTAACAAAGCTAAGGTCACGGGTTCGATTCCCGTTCGGTCCCCATAATCATGCCTGATCTAGTTGAGAGGTGGCGTCCCTGGCAGCAGGGAGGCTGGATTAAAATGATCTTTAAGGTCCCTTCCAGCTTAGGCCGTGATATGATATGATACTTTCCAGCTTTCGCTGAGCTTCCTGTATAGGTTCTGGAAATCCAGTCTGTGTTCAGTAGTAAAGTCCTGTCTCAGCTGACACTGTGGTCACTTGTATTCATCTTTTGCCTCTGCCCCTGTGTGCCACTTCACTTTCTTTGGTCCACCCCAAAACATAAAAATAAAAAAGGAAAAAAATAAAAATAAACCACAAACATACATGGCTGCACATGCTTTGGAATGCTGTGAAATACTCAGTGCTTTAACTCAAATATGTCACCAGTAGTTGAGCAGTCATCCTCTGCTAACTGCTGCAGTCTGAAACACCTGCCATATCTACAGACATGTGCACTTGGCTATTCCCAAGTGCATTGTGGCACTTGTAAATATTCAAAATATCAAGAGTCACCAATAAATTAAGTGATCTTTTGTGCTTTTCTAAAACTGTTTGCTTTTTAGTTTTTCATTATCTGTCAAGTGCAGAGTAGAAAATTGAGCAACTATGTGAAGAAGCCATTGGAAAGCAATGACTGCTGTCTACATGCAAGGGATAGGTTGGCAGAGTATCTATAAAGTTCAGTAGGAAAAATAAATTGTGAAGCTATTCTGAAATGCACGTATGTAATAATACTTCTAGGGAGAAACTTGTTTTGCATAAATTTCCTGTTTATTTTCACTCTAGATTGATCTGCAGACATTCCTTACTCTTACGGATCAAGATTTGAAAGAGTTAGGAATTACCACTTTCGGTGCCAGAAGAAAAATGCTGCTTGCCATCTCAGGTAAATAACACAGATTATCATTGGTTGATTTTAAGTGTTGTTTGCTTTCTTCTCTCTTGAGTTGTATGTTTATAGTTGACAAAGGATCTTGGAAAGACTGAAAAGTAAGTAGCTAGTCCACAGAGGACATATCGCTTGCCCTGCACCATAAGGTGCTTAAAACCAGGCTTTATAGAACTTTCACATTACCAAATAAGATTTCAGTTGCATCGTCCTATGTCCACTTGTAAAGTTGGAGCTTTGTAGAAAGTTCAGCAGATGGTGAACTTTGTTTTATGCCCCAAAACCGTGGGTCCTAGAAGCTGTGGGATTACAGGCTCTGCAGAGTCTGACGCATCGGTCAGAACTGGCATTTTCAAGCCTCTGGTTCCCTGTCCTCCATTGATTGGCCGAGTAACCATCCTACCAGGAAAAACTGCCTGGTTTGGGGGAGGCTTTAGTTCTGATTTGATGATTTAGGGTTTTTCTCCTCCCAAGGCCAGTTGTTTCTGCAAAATGTATAGGTTTGAAAAGAAGCATGTAACTTACTTGGAATTTTTCCAACCCACTTTAATTAAAAGATTGTCTTGTACCCTACATGCAGGAAAACAAAGGCCAGATATAAGTTCTTATGATGTGTTTCAATATATAATGCCTACCTAGTTGTTGTATTTAATTATAATAAACAGCATGAATTTTCATATTACATAGGCATACTCTGTCATTGTTGTCTAGGTGGCTTTCTTCAGAGGCTTCATTTCTCTCAATTGCATCTCTTCCACTGATGCCATTAGTGAATGTTTTTTATGAACTGAAAATGTTGGCATAAAGATGGTAACGATGCAATAGTTCGGTAGCAGTCATGAAAATCAGTGTAATCTCTCAGTGATTGTTATCTAGCATGGAATTTGTTTACAAGAATAGAAAAGTGGAGAAAGCAAAAACATTTTGGATGAGCAATTGCTTAAACAAGCTTCGGGTGTATGAATGAGAGATGACTGTCCTTTTTTTTTTTTTTTCCCCAAAAGTCATTATTAAAATACCGCTTCAATGTTGTGCTTAATAAATAATTCTGCACTGAGAAGTGATCGAGATGCTGATAAGCTTCTCTGCCATCTTGGTTTACATTGCGTCGTTGTGCTGCAGACATACTTTCTGTGTACGTGTACCTTCAGGAAGACTGCAGCCTTTGGCTATTGTAACAGAACCTTCTTTAAGTGCTTCTGCTATGTCAGTTTGATCTAAATCAATATTGCAAAGTACTGTCTACTCCACACTCTCTCAGTGCCCAGTAAGAATTGCAACAAATAGATGCCTGCACCCAGCCAGCCTCTACAAGTCTTAACCCGGCACTCTGACTGTCCTCTTAAATTGCACGAGTGCCCCACTGACACTTTCCGTTCACTCTGTTCTGTCTAAAATATTTTGCTCATTTAAATCAAAGTTTTGCTTTAGGTCAAAATATTAATTCCTGATGAGAGATTTTTTTTTAATATTTTTGTGTGTGTGTGTGTGTGCGTGTATGACCTTTCTAGAACTGAATAAAAACCGAAGAAAGCTCTTTGACCCATCAAACATACGTGCCTCGTTCCTGGAAGGTGGAGCCAGTGGAAGACTGCCGCGTCAGTATCACTCGGACATTGCTAGTGTCAGCGGGCGCTGGTAGCAGTAAGTTGTGGCTCAGAAAGTCAGCTGGACAGACAGACATGGCAATCCTGTGGACAGCCTTCACTGCACACCACCCTCTGCACTTTGGGAGTTTGGGTGTCAAGGACCAAAGCGTTTTGTCTGCACAATACTGTGCCAAAAAAAAAAAACCAAACAGAGAACACACATTTTGTCTGTTGTCTTTCAGAACACCAAATGTGGGCTACGTTTTACTCCTGTAGATTGGACAGAATTTGCAATAATAATATAGGGTTCTTTGTTTAGTATTTTATTACCTATAACTATAATGTATGCACTGATTTTTTACTTTGTTCAATGAAGGAGGAATGAAGAGCTGGGATGCCAGAGAGCATTGATTTTGGTTTTATCAAGGTGGAATTTTCTGGTACTGCTTAAAATAATTATTGAGGTCTTTCTGCACTTTACATGTTCTGATTTCTTGTCCTGTGGAAATTTTTCTCTTTCAATTTCCGTATCAATTTTTATATTGGCACTAATCAATTTTTTTCAGGTGTTCCTACGTTAAGTCACATCTCACTATAATGGTACTGAAACTGGTTCTTATGCAGATTATTCCCTCTCTCTCTGTCTCCCCAGTAGTTATCTGAAGAGATTGCTCCAAAATCAAGCCACTTGGTAGTGGACCTGTCCTATTTTGCTCTTACGAAGCAGTCTAATTCTGCTTGCAGTAATACTCACTGTAACAGATGCAATGAAAGACCAAAATGGACCTTGCAATATTAACCCTTTGCAGTCATCATATTTAACTGCTGCCTGTTATGCTAAAACTGTTTTTAATGGTTGTCTCAAAGCAATGGGCTATTTTTAGTACCCTGCCACTAAAGGACACTTATTTATATCAGACTTTTATTTTTAGATTCTATACACCTGCAATACCTAACAGATTAAACTGATCTACTACAGCTTTATGGTAGAGAATGAAAGGCATTCATCAAACTAGAGCTCTGGGCTGTCAGTTTGATTAAACGGACAACTAATGTAGTTCGACAAGACAGCACTGTTGCCATTTAATAAGTGACACGTATTACATGACTATGCATGCAGCAATTAAGCAACCTACATAAAATAGGTGTAATAGCATCTGTTTTCTTCAATCGAGATTTGCAATTGTTGGCTGCAGAAGTGTTTAAAACTCTGGAGATGAACTATTTCTGAAACAAGTTATGTTCAACAGAAAGAGTCCATATTATGAGTGGCTAGAGCTAACTATTGCATTCTTATACTGTGAAAGTCCAAATAATTTGGCAATGTTATTCCTCTGTCTTTACAGATGTCTTGTTATGGGTTTATGAAGGGTTCTTATATAATGAAGGAATTCATGAAGTGCCTCGTTCTGCAATGCAATATGACGTTTCCAAGCATTAATTTGTTGAAAAGCATTCCCATAAGAAATGTTGTGAATTACCTCTACTGTAATGTATTATTTATGTTCGTGTACAAGCCTTTTGAGATGGACATAAACCACTGTCAAGTGCTCTTAACAGAAGGCATTAGAATAACATTTACAGTAGTTGGTTTTTACGCAAAAAATGGGTGAGAAAGTTTTGACACTTTCCAGGGATAATTCTTTCTTTTAAGGTGAGAATACAAAATGATGTATAGAGAAATTTGCACACACAAAGGGAACTTAAAGAAACTTACTTGAGGGCATAGATGATGAAGCAATAATACAAAGCCTTGCTGCGGTTAGGAAAAAATAACTGCTCAGTGAGCATTTCGGCCATATCTACTTAATGGTGTATAGGTGGGTGACGTTCCTGTAGGTGAAGTAGCAGGTAGCTTCCGCTGGTTTTGAAATTGTGCTGCAGATCTGAATGGATAAAGCTGTGTCTTGGACACACATCGTTGTTCACATTGAAGTTTCTGTGCTCAAATGGCAAAAATCAGTATCCACATATCTGAGAGATGTGTGTCGCACGCACAAGAGCAACTTAATGGAAACGCTCATGGAAGCCACAACTTCTAAAATTATTTACACTTGTGCTTGCTTCTAGGCATGTAGATGGTTCCAGTCACTTGGGCTGCCTACGTGTGTTCAGAGAAGCCGTCAGTGAAATGTTTGCGTTTGCAAGGCCAGTGTTTGCAAATCAAATTGTGTTCAGTCATGCTAATTTTATAACGTATTTTAAATGAAATGAATATTCAGCAACACTTTGTACAGATTTTTCTGCAACCCCGTCTTGCTTATTTTGGCTAAACTTAGAAGCTTCAAAAAACCTTTGCACTCATAGATTTTTTTTTTTAGTCTTTTGTAAGTACATACTATGTATCTAGACAGTACTATACTCGGAAACTGATTTTATTACAGTATTAAGTCGATGTGGCCTTTTGCTGAGCAGTGCTTATGTCATCTATCCCAAAGTGAAGAACCTCCCGTTATCAACATTACTTTTCAATAGGGCTTCACATAAAAAGAACACACTGGAAGAAAAAAAATTTCTCACTTATTTTGAGTCCACAAAGGGAATATGACAGTACAGTGTACCGTATTGTTAGCGTTGTATTATGCACAAATATCTGACTTGCTACATAAAAATGTTAGTTTTAAATCTGTGCCTTAATAGTGACCAGTTATCTGTAAATATAGAGCAGATACAGATTGTATTTTTGTGGGTTGTGTCCTTTTAGTGATTTTTTTTTTTAAATAAAAGATGAAATTAAAACATTAAAAATGGGAATTTTCAAAACTAATCAGTGTTGCATAAAATAAATTTATATAACTCCCTTGTATTCTGATTGGTTAATGAAGTATTTTTTATATAGACCCAGTTCCAGGGATGCTTGCTTGTTAATAAAACATAAAAAGCAGAATTTGACATAATTGCAATATGTTTCTTTCGCATGCTAACGCTCTGTGTTTTTTACTATTCTTTTTACATCACATAGAGGGTGTTTGTCTGGCTTTTAAATGAGAAGGCTTTTGTTGAGATACCTCTCATTAAAAATTAATATGAAAGGAGTTAAATTATCACAGGTTCAATTCATAGCAGGTTTTAATGGTTTTGGCTTACACAAGTTCTATTTTCTTTGGTGTTCCTGTTTTAATGACTAAATATGTGTTGGTCTGGCTAGCAGGACAGCTGTATGTGTTCTTTCCTGGTGGTGGTTATTACTATGACTTCCAGTGTAGAAGGAGAAAAAAAAAAACAAAACAACCCAAAACAGTAGCGATTCTGTACTTGGGGTGCTGGTTGTGCAACCAGTCAGAATCTAGCGAGAGGCACAGCTTTCACATGGAGGAAATATTTACATGACGTTAGGTTGATCTTGTCTGTTTGCTCAGCACGCAGTGGTACAAGTTTAGTATTACTTAGCTCGCTCAGTGCATTCAGGCATTTCATTGTTCCAGCCTAACATTTCCTTTGTTAACTATCTTACACACGCAGGTCTCCACGTAAATGACAGTGTTCCTGGCTCACTGACCTTTTAGAGAAACCTGTGAGTTGTTTTTCTGAATACCTACTGAGAATTGCAGATGTGGGAACAAGTCTGGGAAGGGAATGGGTCACCAGGCTCTTCTGTTGGGGACAGCACCCACTGAAAAGGCGTTGGTGTAAGCAAAGTGGAAGTTGCAGAGGCAGATGGACTTGCAAATTGCGCAGTTTCTGATGCCTGAGCAATAGTCTATGCATTTTTTTGAGACACCTCTGTCTGAGCTAAATTTGGATGTTACTTTTGTTTCCTGTGCTACAAATGTATGGAAGTGGTTTGTTTTGGTTTTTATTACAATGTTACTAATTTTAATATTTTACATGATTTCATGAATCAACAAAGCACATTAAAAATAGTAGAAGAACATTTATATTTACCAATTTTGAAGGTTGTCTCAGCTATTGGGAGGAGTTAGTGGTTAATTAAGATGACTTTGAAGAAAGTATATACTATTAAAGAGCAGATTCAAATATTAACTAACTGCTTACTGTAGCAAGATGTAATAGCAAAACAGTGTTAAGGAAGAGCAACAACAATTGTAACTTCTCATCAAAAAGCAAGTTTTTAGTCTTGAAGGAAAATCATTGTTGCGAACTCTCAGGTCAGTTTTCTGGTTTGTTTGGGGTTTGTAAATATCCAGAAAATACTTTCTAAAATTCTTGGAATTACATATAAGTATATTTACAGTGTACTGTTTGTTATTCCAGGTGGGTTTTAGAATATCTTGAGCTTTACTTATGAGAAATATTTTGTGAAATTCTTTTTACATTGAATTGTATCAGAATGAGTATGAATTGTGTTGGGAAATGAAGGTACCTGTTTATGAAGATGCAGAACCTTATGTGCTAGTCAAAGCATCATCTAGGGTGAAGTTTCTCTACTCTTCTAAGGAATAAGATTTGAGCAAGATGTGCTTTGCTGAGAATTGCAGAACGATTCCAGATGTTTGACGAAAATATGAAGAAAGATTAATACATTGTGATGGAAATTACCTAGTTTGTGCCAAAACTGTGTTGCAACTTCATGGAAGCTAACAGATGGAAAAAGCAAAACATAATATGGGAAAAAGAGCCGCTTATATAATGAAGTAAAAATTTGTCACTTCTAACAATGGGTGATGAATGTTTTAAGAAATAATCACAGAAATACTGTTGCCACTGATGTAATAACACTAGGACCTTGAATTGGTATGGATGTCTTGACACTTTTCTCTTATGATAAAAATTATTTTGTCCTCTGTGAAGGACAGAGGATTTGAAGAGGCCTGAAATGTATGTGGCACTAGGTTACGGTTCCCAAAATTAAAACTATCCATGGAAAATGCAATCTCATGCTATGAACCATATGGAAGAGAAGTTGGAGAAAGATACACGCGAAAAGGAAGGTAGAAGCCAAGAATGAATCCATTTTAAAACAAAAGAAAAATGGAGTTCATGTAGAGCAAAATACAACCTTTTTGTCTAGAAGGAATCTTTCTACCATGGAGGAGAATAGCTTTTTATTTCTCAAGAGTAAGCCCCTGTTTTCATACCAAAGCTCACCTGT